TTTCATTACCTAGAGTTTCCTATCCCACAGTAGAATAGAAATCAGCAGGATAGCAAAACTGTAGGAAGCACTGGTAGAAATAGGCATGGTGGTTAGTGGTAAGAATTGATTATATAACAGCAAAGAATAGGAGAAAAAACAATATAATTTGTAACTCCCATAGTTCAGAATTATTCACAAAAGGGCAGCACTGTTAGAGCCCCACATATCTTTTAGGGAGCTAAAGTTATCCCCTCATTCATGTATCCATTCATCTGTTCACTATTTTAGCAAGTATATAAGTACCAGGGACTACAACAATTCTGCATATATGAAGATGCGCAAACCTATAATTCCTGCTTCTATGGGGCTCAGAGCCTATTGTGGGGCAAAAAGTAAGTAAACCAAAAATTACCAACAAGGAAAAAATAGTTAAGTATAAGAAGAATGTAGTGTGATGAAGGCACTGGGTGAATCTAACTTAGCTAGTGGAGAAGAGGGAAGGGAGGTAGGCAGGGAAACTGGTAGCAGAGTATGTTGTGAGGTAAGGAAACCAATTAGTTCAAAGGTGGCAAAGGGAAAGCTCAAGACAAACCATGGTAGCAACAGCTTCTAATCTGAGTAAATAGCTAAATAGGAATAAGTGATGTAGGTGTTAACACTTCTCAGTGTGTATCTCAGTATTGTCTTCTAGTATTTGTCTTTGGGGAATCCTTCAATCATGAGGAAGTAACCACATTAATACAAATTTGTATCATCTTTAAAGACTATGAAACAGGATTGGCCACCTGGGTGGTATGATTTTGAAAGTCTAACAATAGTTCTGCCTCTATATCTGAAATCTCAGTGGTAATGCCTTCTTAAAACATTGAAAGCCTTTGTTCAGATTCATTATTATCCAGTAGGTTTAACATATCCATCTAGAAATGGTAGTTAACCCAGCCACTAATTTATCAGAGCCCTGAGGTGAAGAAATGGCTAGCAGGCATATGTTGGTCACGATGTGTACGTGGATGGCTGGTGTTGCGGGGAGAGTTATCACTCAGGAAAGAAAAGGTGATGATTCTTCATCCAGGGTGTTACTAACTTCTCTTAGGACTTCTGAACAAATATAAGGACTTGGGGGTGACCGGTAGGGTGTGAAGGGTGACAACAAAAAGAAAGACACAGAAAAGAGAAAAGTGGAAGGGTGAGCGTGAACCAGAGCACATATGATAGGAGTATGCTTGCCTCTTTCAAGCGGGAGTCCAGATGAATCCAGGGCACTGAAACTGAAACCTCAGTCCACACCTCTTCCAGCACTTCACTACTATTAGTAAGAGTAAAGGGGCAGCCGTGAAACTGAAGACAAGAGTGAAGAGCGAGTCTTTACAACCCTCTCCAACAAGTAGTTATTATCTCGTTTGTCTGAGTTATCATGAGAAACCCCGGTCCTCGTGGTCATATCTCATCTCTAAACTGTATTCTCAGAAGAATCTGTGCATTCTGCCTTCCTCTGCTACTTCTTCCCAACTTTTGAACCCCTTCCACTGTGCCTTCTGGAACTCAAAATCATGACTGGCAAAAATCCCATCCCCTCAGCTTCCACTCTGAAATTTCCTTTACCTTATTTTTCTACAGAGGTTTCTCAATCTCAATGCTATTGATATTTTGGGTCAGATAATTCTTTGTTGTGGGAGGCTGTCCTGTGCTTTGTGGGATATTCCACAGTATCCTGGACCTATATTCACTAGATGCCAGTAGCTCTTTAACCCTGTTTTGCTAAATGTCCTGGTGGAGGGAAGGCCGAGTGGTTTAAAAATCACCCCCTACTGAATACCACTATGCTAATAGCACTGGCCTGTGCCCAAGGACACAGCTTTTCTCAAAACCTTCTCAGGATGTGGCTGGTTTTGTTTCTTCCCTCCACCTTCCTACAATTGGGACTGAAATGGGGTAGGCAACCTCTTTGCTACTTACTGTCACATCAGACTGTAACCGAGTTGCGGGATGGGACGGGGCTCAACTCCCTCCCCCAATGGGATGTGCCCAAGGTTCTTTGGCTCTCACTCACCCAAGAATTGGGAGAGGGCCCTGAAGGCACGGTGAGCTCATTCAAGTACGTATCAGACCCAGAGAGTTTTGCAGAGAGCGATTTATTAGGCAGAGGGAGAGAGAGAGAGAAAAGTAGAGAGAGCTCCCACACTAGCGTGGGAGGGGGTCCGAGAGAGGGAAAATCCATGAGCAGGTAAGGTGCAGTGGAGTTCTAACTTTGAAGTTATTCCTGCCCCATTCAAGTTCTCGTCCAGCGAGAGGAGGTCTTTCAAACTTCCTCTGGAGTGACTGATCTTTGCCTCTGATGCCGGATTAGCTATCTGGCGCACAACAGAGCCCCTCCTTCCAGGGCTTTTGGCAGTCTTTTTTAAACAAAGAAGCATACCTGAAATTTAACCTAGCCCGCACATGGATAAGTTAGACAAACAACTCTAGTTTCTTGGGTGGGGAGGTGGATGGAGGCATGGCGCTGGAAAGTTCTTGCCTTTGAAACCAGCCGCTTGTGGACCGGGGAAGAGAAGTCAACATAGCGCCTCAACACCACTCTCTTTTCTTCTCTCCCTACTTCCCAAACATTTTCGCTTGAAATATTATGTCATGAGATTACGTCATTCCTCTACTTTTCATATTGGTTTTATCTTCTGATTTTATATGATTCTCCCATCATTTTTTGATTTTTTTTTTTTTTTTTGCTTCTGGCTTCCTATATTATTTTCAATGTTAGAACACATAAAAATGATTCTTCCAACACCCTGACCCTCAGTTTCTTGGATTCCTTTCCTCCAATAATTGTGTCCTGCACTCTCCAGCAGCCTCTGCCTCCATGGTCGTATCCTAGACATTGTAACTACTAATACCTACAACTCTTCCCTCCTTGAGTTTAATTCCATGCTGCTTGTTCTCTCTAATCTTTCCAATCCATTCATTCAGCTTCACTGAATCAGTTCTGGCCCTCTGGGAAGCACCCATAGAGATGCTATTGGAAATACAGAAGATTTACTTGGGAAAATGTCAATGAAGAAAAATGGGAAGAAAGGTTGTTGATGTTGGGAGAACCTTCAGATTGCAGTGCAGGCCCTGTGGAGGAGAAAGGGAAGGACAAAAGTTTAGAGAGGAAAAGTGTTTGATTGCAATGAAGTTTTAAGAAAGTTTTTGCAGATCTGATTGCGGGTCCTTTAGCCAAAGTTGCCCATTGAAAACTCCTGCATCTTCCAGAAATGAGTCTGCCTTAATATCCCTCCTGCACTCAGTTATCAGTATGGAAATAACTCCAGCCCAGGCTGGAGTGCAGTGGTGCGATGTCAGCTCACTGCCACCTCTATCTCCCAGGTTCAAGCCATTCTCCTGCCTCAGCCTCCCAAGTAGCTGGGATTATAGTTACCTGCCATCACGCCTGGCTAATTTTGGTATTTTTAGTAGAGACAGGGTTTCACCAAGTTGGTCAGGCTAGTCTCAAACTCCTGGCCTCCAGTGATCAGCCTGCCTCGGCTTCCCAAAGTGCTGGGATTATAGGTGTGAGCCACGACACCGTCCTCACTTTCTGTAATTCATTGCTCAAATGTCACCTTTCAATGTAGCCTACCAAGCCACTCTTTTTAAAATTGCAGTAACCACCTCCAACTGCCCAATTCTTCCTTGTTTTGCTGCATTCCTTTTTTTTTAATAGCACACATCACTGTCTAATATGCTATATAACTTATTTATTGTTTATCGTATATTTTTATTTCTTGCTAACTAAAATGCAAACTCTATGCTAGTAGCTATCTTCTTCACTGTTGTATCCCAGGCACTTTGAATATTACCCAGTAAACAGTAGGGTTTAATAAGCCTTTGTTGAATTAGCAATGACTACATGGTAAGCTGAATTTGGTAGACTTGTACATTTTGCCTCATTTTATGCCTCCCTGTGATGGTGGTAGCTGTTAAGTTAGGCATCTTTCATTGCTTTGCCTTAATGCTTTGTGAAAGCTTTAGTCATTCACATATTCATTGAGTATCAAATAAAGGTGTGGCATTGTTCTGATGAATATAAATAATTGAAAATAGAATCTTGCTAAGACTAAGCAAAATGAGCACATTTTCTCTGTCTTCCAAGAGAAATGGTATCTATTCATATGGCTAAACAAGATAGATTTCTATCTGGAAGAAATGTGCTGATTTTAAACCATTCTTCATAGCTCAACCAATCCTTTACTTTGTCATTCTTTTGCTATTTATTGAAAGCTCACTGTGGGCTAAGTGTTTTGACTTTTATGCAATCCCAACCTCAGGCTGGTGTTACCATCAGGGCTTGAGACAGGGAGGAACAGATACATGATTTTCTCCTGGGCATTCATTTAAGCCAATGTGATTCATTCCACAAGAAAAAACCATAGCACATGACAAGAAACCTATGTTCAACAGGCAAAAATATTCCTCTTCCAAAAGTCTGTCAGGTACAAGCTTAAAGGTAAAAATGCATAAGCCACATCTTTTGTCCAGATGAAATTTTGGGAGCTGCTCCTCTACCGTAAGTCCCTGAAGGAAAACACTATAATACATCCTCTGGTAATGATTTGGGTAGCCTGGTCTAACATTGTAAGTTATTTTGAAGTATGTTGTTTTAAATTTAATATGTTTGAAAGTCATTAGATACGTTTCGCATATTGAGGCCAATAAAATATTAATTATGTACTCTTTTAAAATGCTGTTAAGAGTTATACCTACACCTTCACTCCCTCCAACCTACCACCTCATACCCTTAAGTTGGCTGTTTAAAGTGTAATTTAATGGTTTGAAGTAATTAAAGGAAAAAAATACTTTTTATATTTTAAAGTGATAAAAGCACTTTTGTCCTTTATAACCACTGGCTATAACACTCCACTGGGGTTGTGCTTCACACCTAAATGTATACATAAAAGAGGATTCCTTTGCTTCAAATAGAATGAGCCAGGGCAACTTGAGCAGATGCATCAACACAGGTTAACAATCCTGACTGATCTCCTAAGAAAAAATTTCTGTAGCTTTTAAATCAATTTGTCACCAGTTTGCTGCCTGAAGGGTCAGGTGGCAGGAAACTGCGCTTGTGTGAGTTGGCAGCCAGGCGGCCCTGGGTCCAGCAGCAGGCCCTGGCCCATCAGTGTCAGGAGCTCTCTGGAAATCAAAACAAATAAACTAAAACCTGCCTGGACACTTAACTACTGCAAAGAAGCCTTCCTCATTTCTCTACCCAACCCACCAGGGGCTGTTTTCAATTTTTAGATTTGAATTTCAAATTCATGGGTTACAGAGCAAGTATTGGCCAAAGTGCATTTCTGTGTCATGACCATTTTCTGAGGACAGTCTCTGAGCTAGATGCTAAGGAAAACCACACAAGATCTTCTGGGACCTTCCTGACCCTTGATTTCCCAAAACTCCTCAAAAGGATGCATACTGGTCAAGTGAAGCAATGGGTGCTGTGGTGTACATTGGATATTAATGTTTTCTTCTTGCTTGAAGAAAATGGTTTAAATTAATCTAAAGCTAGTGGAAGGTAATCCTGAAAAAGGGTAGCATGAATTTTCATTAAACAGTGGATGATTATATTTGCAAATAGGAGTGAAATGATCAGAGCTTTCATTGGGAATATGCCACGGGAAGTCAAAGGGCAATTACAGAGTTCTCTTTGAAGCTACAAAGAAGTCATTTTCTAGCTAGTTAGTCAACTCGCAATCAAGACGCAAGGAAAGAATGGGAGATAGTTGAGGCTTTGTTCCACATTTCTTTTACTGCACAACCTGCTGTTGCTATTGACAACTTGGATCTGAAAGAGAAAATGGATGTGAAAGATTTGAACTTAGCTTTGGAATTATCATGTTCGTCCTTGCTGCCCTAGAGAAATTGGCTTCACTGAGTCTTGAGTGTATGGTTAGACCAAATTTCAGTTGTCATAGTAATGGAAACAGGATGATGTATTGAAGACAACAGCTTTGGGGTTGAATTGCCCCTGGTTCAGTCGTGACTCAGTCACTATTGTGACCAAGTTCTTCTACGAGCCTCAATCGTTAGCTGTACCATGGGTAATGTAGTATCTAGTCCATACATATTTGGAAGAATTACATTTCTAAAAGCATGAAAGACATGAAGAATAATGACTAGCAATTGGTAAGCTCTCCAAAAAGTAGCATGTGTTATTTTTAATATGGAGACAACGATATAACTAATTCAAGTAGTAAATAATGTAAAAAACATTACATTATTTTTCTACTGATGTATTTACCTTTCTAATTCTGAACTGGACTTTTTCATGCCTATGTTCAGACAATTTCTAAGAATCAAGAGTCAGAGTGGGTATTTAGGCCTGCTAGTCCAGGGTCATTCCTCTCTTATGTAGCTGCCTACAATTTTCTAAGATCGTTAAGAATGGAAAGTAAAGGAATTATTTCCACGTGGAGTAGTAGTTTTGTACTGACACATGTAAAAGTACTCATTTCCCCATATAATTGCCAATACTTGAGAGTATCAAACTTAAATGTATCTGTTTGTTAGCCTTCAGTCATAAAACAATACCTATTGCTACCATTCATTCTAACTTGATAAGTAATGTGAAATGAGCCCCCGTTTTTCAGGCATTAAGTGAAGTAAGAAAAAAATGACTCTGTTTAAATGAATCCATGTTAATTAAAAGGAAACTCTGAAGTAAATTAGTTAGACTTAAGTATATTTTGCTAGTGAAAAATCTATGTTGTAAATTGCTTCTCTTTGTTGATAAGAAATGTCAAGGTTACAGACTATTTATGACTCAGAGAGCTAAACAGAGGATGTGCCTGATAAATAATAAGATTGAGACAAAGCAAAACAGAAAAGTTGATTTGGTATAATTATAGTAGACAGATTTCTTGTGTCAGAATTTTACTTCCAACAAATGTAAAGAGACCAAGAGTCTCTTGGTGTTCATGTTTTTCTCTTCATGTGCTATGAAACATTTTTCTGAAAAGTTTTTCATGTTTCATGAAATATGTTTAAAAATTATGAAGTGATAAATCATAACTGGCATAGGAGCTAATACAATTTCATGAATGGGACTTCTTTAAATATTTACATACAACTAAAATTATAAAACTCAAACATAATGTCTTCAAAACTATGAAACATCAAAACAATGGTTTTATTTTTAGATGACTTCTTTAATAAGCTGTCTTTCTTTTACAAAACTGTAATTATAAAGAAGATACTTTCAACAACATCAAAACTTAAACATAACATAAAATCTTGCCTAACTTTGAAACTAATGAGACTTAGCATGTTTTCAAATCTTCGTTGACTATCCCTCCTGTGTAAGATTTTTGAATGTGGCCTTTACCTAAGTTGTCAGCTTTTCTTCCTCTTTGAATTGCATGAATTCTTTATACTTTTCAACATTAATTATTTGTTGGCTGTATATATTGTAAATATCTTATTCCTCTATGGGACTCACTTCTATTTTTGTTTACTATAACTTTCCTCAATGTAAAAAAGATCCTTTACAAAAATTTACAGCTACTGTCCTACTTAATAGGAAAAAAATGCTACTTTCCCCTTAAGATGGGAAAAAGGCAAAAATGTCTGCTCTCATCACTCTTACTATGTTTGAAATCCTAGTCAATGCAATAAATCAAGAAAAGTAATACAAGTTATATAGATTTAAATGAAAGAAGTAAAACTATTCCTATTAGTATACAACATGATTGCCTATATAAAAAATACTTTGGAAGCTACAAATAATTATGGGATAAGTGATTATAGCAATTTTTCAGGATATAAGATCAAGATACAAATATGAACTATATGTCTATATTATAGCAATAAAAAGTTGGAAACTAAAACAAAAACAATGGTACAATTAATAATAGCTCTAAAAATGTGAAATATTTAGGCAATAATTTAACAAAATATGCACAGAATTTTCATGCTGAAAATAACTAAATGATGCTGAAATAAATAAATAATGGCCTAGATAAATGGAGAGATATTTCATGTTCACACACTGGAAGTCTCAATATAGTAATGAGTTTTTTTTTTTTTTTTTGCCCCAAATTGATTTATAACTATAACAAAAGTTAAACTCCCAGGAGTATACATTTCATAGACAAATAAAGATGGTTCTAAACTTTATGTGGAAAGTCAAATAAGCTAGAATAGTCAAAAGGATTTTTACAAAGAATAAGATTGGAAAACACACATGCTCAGATATTAAGATTCATTATAAAGTTATAGTAATAATCAATACAGGATGATAGTGGTGAAAGTACAAGCACACAGAGAAATGGAACAGAAGAGAAAGTCCGGAAATAAACCTATGCATGCAAGTTCAATTAGCTTTTGATAAATGAAAAACAGTAATTAAATGGAGACAGTCATCTTTTTAATAAGCAGTACTGGAACTATTGGGCATCTACAAGCAAAAACTAAATAGGAAATTTCCATGTTACACAAAAATCAACTGAAAATGAATCATAGACTGAAATGTAAAATTTAACACTATCAAGTTCTTTTTTTTTAATTAATTAATTTATTTATTATACTTTAAGTTCTGGGGTACATGTGCAGACTATGCAGGTCTGTTACATAGGTATACACGTGCCATGGTGGTGGTTAGCTGCATCCAACACCCATCACCTACATTAGATATTTCTCCTAATGTTATGCCTCCCCAATCTCCCCACCCACTGCTATTCCTCCCCTAGCCCCCCATCCCCCAGGTCCCAGTGAGTGATGTTCCCTTCTCTGTGTCTGTGCGTTCTCATTGTTCAAAACCCATTTATGAGTGAGACCATGCAGTGTTTGGTTTTCTGTTCTTGAACACTATCAAGTTCTTAGAATAAAACTAAGAGAAAGACTTGCAACCTTGAGCTAAGCAAAAAGTCCTTAGAAATAACACCAAAAGGATGGTCCACTGAAAAACAGATGAATTAGAATTTATCAAAATGAAAAACTGCTCCAAAAAAGACACTGTTAAGAGAATGAAAAGACAGCCTACAGACTGGGAGAAAATATTTGCAATTATATACCTGATCAAGAATTTCTATCTAGTATATATACAGAACTTTCAAAACCCAACAGTAAGAAACCAAGCAACCCACTACAAAGTTGAGCAAGAGATGTGAACAGACATTTCACCAAAGAAGATATTCAGAAGGCAAATAAATACAAGAAAACACGGTCTGTGTCATCAATGCTGTGGTGCATCTATACAAATGGATTTTTTTTTAAAGACAATACCAAGTGCTTACAAGGATGTAGAAGAACTGGAACTTTCATACATTGCTGTTTTTAGGAATGCAAAATAGTACAGCTATTTTGGAAAATGACTTAATAATTTCTTATAAAGTTAAGCATACATTTAACCAGTGATCTTACAATCTCATTCTTATTCACTCTAGAGGAATGGAAAATCTATATTTAGTCAGAAAGGATACACAAAGCTTTGAGCAGCATCATTCACAATCCTCAAAAACTGGGAACAACCCAAATGTCCTACAGTGAGTGAAGGATAAACCAGCTGTGGCTCAGCTATATAATGGAATACTCTTTACCATAAAAAGTAATGGGCTATAAGTATATACAACATGGATGATCTCAAATGCATTATCCTGAGCAAAACAAGGAGTCCCAAAATGTTGTATATTGTGTGTTTCTACTTATATGACATTCTGGAAAAGAAAAAAATTACACAGGCATAGAAAAGATCATTGTTTCCCAGGGGTTGGGATGAGGAAGTATTTACTGCAAGGTGCATTAGGGTTTTCTAGAGGGACAGAATTAATAGGATAGATGTATATATGAAGGGGAGTTTATGAAGGAGTATTGGCTCGCATGATCACAAGGTGAAGTCCTACCATAGGCTGATCTTCACGCTGAGGAGCATGGAAGCCAGTCCTAGTCCCCAAACCTCAAAACTAGGGAATTTGACTTCAGTCTGTGGCCGAAGGCCCAAGAGCCCCTGGCAGATCACTGGTGTAAGTCCAAAAGTCCAAAAGCCGAAGAACTTGGAGTCTGATGTTTGAGGGCAGGAAGCATCCAACAGGAGAGAAAGATGAAGACAGCAAGTCTAGTCCTTCCGTGTTCTTCTGCCCACTTTGTTCTAGCTGCGTTGATAGCTGATTAGATGGTGCCCATCCCATTGAAGGTATGTCTACCTCTCCCAGTCCACTGACTCAAATGTTAATTAATCTCCTTTGGCGACACCCTCACAGACACACCTGGGAACACCACTTTACATCCTTCAATCCAGTCAAGTTGACAATATTAATCATCACACAAAGGGACAGAATGAATATGTTTTCTCTCCCTTTGTGTGATGAAATCATTCCATTTCCTTATTATGGTTATATTTACTACAAGAATATATCCATGTAGCAAAATCCATAGAAATGTACATCCAAAGAAGTGAATGTTATTGTATGAAAACCTAAAAATTTTATTCAGCATTTCTATGTGTTTTCAGTAGGGAGACAAGATCAGCATCAGGGAAATCCATTCTGTGACATTAAGTCATGTTTTTATTGCTTTTGTAATAAAACAACGTAACACAATAAAAGTTATTTTGTTTATTGTCTTTTTTAAAAAGAAGACAATTACATTGACAATACTTCAAGCTAAGAACAAAACATCCAGGTACAAAAATGAGTTTGTATTGCTTAATAAAATTATCTGCATTTTAAACTTCAGATAGGAATGAGCTTTGCCTGTTTTGCCACTTATAGGGACTAGCATAGAGCCCACAGACAATAAGTTCTTAATAAATGCTCTTTATAACATCACTTAATAAGTGACAGTGTAAACACAGACCTACTGATGGTGGGAGAAGTGGGAAAAGCCAAAATCACAATGCAGAGCATACAGAATTTGCTTAAATAACATGTACTCATATAACAAGAGCAAACAAAGAAACATCAAATCTCCTGCCTTTTATTTTTCTAATTCTCTTTTCCGAGTCAAAATCCTATTCATTGCTTAAGGTTCAGATCGGATTTTATTTCTTCATAAAATCTTCCATACCCTCTTCAAATCACTTTGATTATTCTCTTATTTGAATACTAACTTGCATTCTGACTTTGAAAGTAACCATGTAGCCCCTTGTACAGCATACTTTCTCATGTAGCTATGTCTTATCTCTCTTCAATGACTGAAAATCCATGGATAACAAAAATCTAATTGAATATGTTGTCATGTTTTTTTCTGAATTCTTCTCAGTACCTACATGTTACTAATGCCTCTGGAGGGCATGAGTGATGTCGCCTCAGAGCTGACATTCTGCGAAGGTACTCATGCCTCACTTGCAAGTTGTCAGGGAATGTGGCTTTGCTGAA